ACGCTCTGATCTCCTGACCTGCCACGTTTGTTACGTAATAATGTCTTCGGTAGAGCGTGTCGTGCTTTGGAGAAACACTGTAAAAGTATGACATCAAAATTTTACTTCAAATCAAAGTGCTTCTGTGTCGAGGTTAAAGTTGTCTCGCGGTCCCCCTAAAATCGCTTCGCAGACCCCTAAGCGACCACGGACCCCAGTTTGTGAACCAATGCCATAGGCAAACGTGTAAAGGTAAAAAAAAAAGTCAGCTCTTCGCCCCCCATCTCTGACTGATTTTACTCTGAAATGCTGAAAAAACTACTCATGTTCGCTAAACTTGATTCAGCAGATAAATAAACTGCAGGTCTGCAGCTCGCGAAAATGCAGCAAGAACTTCTATCTCCGTTGTTACGTAACATCAAAGGCATTATGTAATAGAAAGTGAACGACATAGAAAGGAAAAATGAATACAGGTATATTGATTCATATACAGAGCATTTGCAATATGTAAAACATTCATTCATATTTTAGTTATACTTAACACAATTTTGTTAGTTTTCGCGGTGCATTTGACGACTTTAGTGCGTCGCGGCACACCTTTTGGGAACCGCTGAATTGCACCATTTTTACCCTTTCATTTTTTAGTGTTCCGCGAGGCGAGATGAAAAACGTAAGTGTTCCGTGGTCAAAAAAGTTTGGGAAACGCTGCACTAGATGAATATGCTACCATGTAAATTCGTCTTTTCTTATCAACACAGATACACAGGACGGGTGTTTTGTTTTATAGAATGTGCAGACTCGCCATGCCGGCGTAATGTGATAAGATGTAAGAAATTTTTCCCACAAAAACGACACTCATGACTGATTAAATTTTCTTCTTTTTTCTCTGGGAATGGAAGTAAACTGCTCCAACAAAAGAACATATGCCCTTGCAATGTCAAATTATGATTTAGATTGACTATGCACTACATCTCAATACTGGTTAAAGATGCAGTGAACAAAATAATACCAAATGCACAATACACTAAATCTAAACTGCGAAGGCAATAAGTTCATGGAAACTTATGCACTTGCTATGTCAAATCACAATTTAAATTGAAATGTATATTTCAATACTGGTCAATGATGCGCTGAACGAAATTATAACAGCTGCATAGTACTCTGACCAAAGCTGAACAAAATAATAACAGTTGCAAAGTACTCTAATCAGAGCTGAACAAAACGACAACATAGGCATAGTACTCTAAATCTAAACTGTCAAGGCTATTCGATAAAGAAAACTTGGGCATCTTTCCAGTAGAACAAAAACCAAAAGTAGCTGCAAAACAAAAAGTAGGCGTCACAAAAAAAAAATATTATAAATGTTCGGTGAAACAAACCTTCTTCACAGTTTCTAATTTTTCCAGTATTGAAGTGATCTGTATTCGAATTACTGCGTTCATCTGTAATGGAGTGTTTTGAATTGAATTATCAATCAACTTTCATCTCACACGTTCCAACAATAATTCAATTACATATTACAAGTATTTCTTAAATGCAATTGTACGAAGTTAATAATTAAATTCACAATAACTCCACAAAACTTATAGTTTGATTCATTAGTTCAAAATTTACTCTATTCAATAAATTTATTTTTTACAACCACCAAAGTCTAAACTAGGTCAGATGATGTGTTACAGGAATACATTTGTGCTAGTGTGCAGCAAGTTTTTTGAATCGAATAGTCAATTCTATTCTGGCTACATTATCCTTGCGTTACACTCTTGCGAATCCACTTGAGCTAGTAAAGCAAGGAAAGGTAGCTGGTCTTGCGTAACACCAACATACATATGTATGCATACAGATTTGATTTATTGGAACATTAGGTTAAAAACCTATCATGTTCAAAACCGTCCGTCCCCTGGCTGATATAAATATATACGATGCTACATACCATGCGTACACTCTCTTTCTATATTGTTTTCATGCCGGTTTCCTTCAATATTGATATGTTTACCTGCAACAAAACTGATGTAAACAAGCTTTCAACTAAAGTAGGTAAAAATCTATAATAATTTATTTTCAAAACACACCTTTCGAATCAAACTTTTGTGACTTCGCACTCCCAGACTGTCTACCTTTAATTTCACCGCATTTTCCTATGAACAAAAAATATAGCTAAGTTCAGCTAGTACATAAAATTAAGGCAGACTAAACAAAAAAAGTGCTACTCTCGTAGTATGTGAACCAAGTTAGGGTTAGGCCATTATTTTAGGTGAAAATACTGTGAGAGGCACTTGACTAGTTTCTGAACTCGTGATGAAACTTAAATAAGGAAAATTGGAGTAAAATTGTGGGCTAACCCTAACCTGGTACACATACTTACTATGTTCCTGTGTTCACCATCTTGGTTCACATGTTACGGGAGCGCCAAAAAAGTATGTTCAAAACAAATATTACAAACTTGCCGTCGCCTTAAATAAGTAAACATTTAACCGACATATCAAACAACAACTTAGATGTATACGAGTGCCAAAAATATTAAAAATGCAACCCCAATACCACACTGACAACTTTATGTCCGCGAAACTAAACTATAAATGTAAACTAAAAGATAGCACAACAGGATGTAACGATATGTAATCTAATGAACAGCATAAACTCATACAAACCATTCAATCTGTTCCGATATGTACTTTTCTTCCGTAAACGTTAAAACAGAAAGGACACTGGAAATGGCTCCTGTCTGATACTTGTTTGCTTCTCCTGCTGTAGCATTCTTCTTTTCGACACAACTAAAATACAATAACTTTCATATTTAAATGATAATGACATTTTACAAAATCATGGAAATTGTATGACAAATTTGTTGACTACAAAGCATTCAAATGAGGGTAGTCATAAAATGACTATGTTCCGCTATGTCTCCACTAAAATGACTATGTCCCTTCTAAAATCGTGATCTCGATATTATCCTACTAAAATGGATATGTCCACATGTCCCTATTAAAATGGATATGTCTGCTATGTCCCTACTGAAATGGCTTTGTTTTTTCAAAAATCGTGATCCCGTTATATCCCTACGAAAGTGACTATTTTCCGCTATGTCCAAAAAACCATGCTATGTACAAAAAAAGTTCAAAATATAGGATTTGGCGGCTATGCTGGCGTATATTGAAGCAAAACAGAAGCACTGCAAAAAAGTAAGACCACACGATTCGTCACAATCTGGATGGTGTATTTGCTGTTTGCGATTTCCTGTCACGGTTCAGATTGATCACGCGTTTCGGGAGCCCACACTCTAAAAAAACTTGAGTCAATCGCGTGACTAATTCGGAAGAGTAGGGAACAAAATGACTCAATCGAGACTCGAGCGTCATTTCTCTCGCACTCTCACTCGTTTTTAAGTCAAATATTCTCTCGTTTGACGACCGCCTTCTTTCTCTCGCCGCCAATTTCTCTGTTTATTTTTTAAAGTTGGAACCGGCGAAGCGTAGAATTGGGCGGGGAAATTGTTTTCGAAGTCGTCATTCGCGTTGTCGACGGCGGTTGTTTCGGCCGAAGGTTATCATGCAGCATGGCCACTCGCAGCTTGCGTGGCCTATCAGTTACGGTTAAAGATATTATGCTGGGATTTTTATTTTGCGTGAGAGGCCAATAGGACAGTTGGATGGGGTAGGCTAGGTCGTTGTTTTTTACAGTTGGATAACAGAGTGAATTGCTGTTATGAGAGAATGGAATTTAGCTTTCACCTGCTACATTCTGACAGTGCTAACAGTTTTGGAGCGGTTGTCCGTTGTCGGTAAGTGATTGCTAGCAGTGGATTCAAATAAGATTATCGAAATGAGCATGAACTGCAGTATAACACAACTGGCTACTGAGCCAAGTCAGGTCTGCCGGCCTAAGCTACCGGTAGGCCCACTGTCTGACTGTTAAGTTAACTTTATGTCTGAAGTAGGCTACATGCTGTTAGCTCAAGTTACAGACACACAGGCCTACAACCTGATGACTGCAGTCTACTGGGTCTATAAAACAGTACAACTAGCCTATGTCAGTCTGCCATCTCTTTCTTTCTTAAACAGTTACCGATAACTCATTGCAGTGTTAAATTGGTACTTTTATCACACTGCTTGCACAGCTATAGGCCTGGTATATATACTGTTATTTGTTTTAGGCCCTTTTGAGCCTCATAATGAATTATCACCTTCATAAAAAAATTATGGTCATTCCTTGATGTCCTATTATTGTGTCACCCTGCCTGCCATGGGAACTTACCGGTACTATTTTTGTAGTGTTATGCTCTGGGTCTAATTGATCCGGGCTTTTGACAATTGCAGTTTGCTCCGTTTGATATAATACGTTTTTTATTCTTTATTAGCTACCCGCCATCTGCATTGAAAGTTGATCTCGCAAAATCAATTGTCGAGGAATTTCCAAAGCTGAAGTTAGAGGGAACAACCGGATATGTACGTATTTTCATTTTGAGATAATTTCGCTTTCCCTACAAGGCATTATTCAATCTCATGAATCTTGTACACAATATTTCGTCATTAGGGCTGTATTCCTCTCTTCTGAAGTTGCTAAAATGGGTGTTAAATATGATTCTGTGTTTACTGACTTCAAGTCTGCTCTCTGTCAGCTTTGTCATTAGGGCTCTTTTGTTGTTATTGTTATTTTGCGAAAAATGTTTTCAGGGCCATTATTATGATCCTCTTCGTGGTTCCTGCTTTATAGAAAACAAGCTCAAAAATTTACGAAAACAAATGGCAATAGAAGATAAGATGTATAAAAAACAAAAGAGAAGCCACTCAACATATGCAAGTAGTTCCAGTTTTGGGAGTAGCGAAGATGCTGACACCAGAGGGAGTACTGTTGAACTGGATGCCTCACTTCTGGAAGACGATAGCCCTATAATGAAAAAGGTGGGAAATTTCTGATTTTTTTATATGTGGATATTTTTATTTCTCCGCAGCTAGTATTTTATTGGAATATTTTATATGTATATTGCTTTCAGATTAAATGGCTGAAAGAAACTACACCTAACAAGGACAATAAGGCAGAAATATATAACATAATGAAGGAAAGTCATGACTATCGTAGGCTTGAAATACAGCTGAAGCCTATGACCTTAACTGACATTTTAGAAAAGTACCCAAGGTTCTGTGATGCTTATGAGGGTGGATTGGTAAGTTAGCAATAAATCTAGATGTAAAGTGCAATGTACATAGGCTGTTTATTATTGTATTCATCACATCAAGATATTTTTAAGAAGTACGGATATAGAAAGCATCTTTTTTTTCACATGTGCTTCTTGTGGACTCAGATTGACTGTGAATTTGAGATGAATTACCCGAAGTGTAAGAAGTTTATGGAAATTTTTCCACCACTCATTCAAAAAATTCTTAAAATGGATCAGGATTGTGTTCAGTGTGATGATGGTATGTGCTTTATGCTTTATATTACTGATATTCTATGTATAAATACTGGTTGACTTAGAACTATCTCTGCCACATTGCCAACTGGGCGGCAGTGAAATAGCTTTATTATATCTATGTTTTTTGTGTGAGAGCATATTTCGAGTAATTGACACATTTTAGATGGACTAAAGAGTCTTCTAGTTCTATCGAAGATTTTGCCACCTCTCAACACAAAGGGGAAGAAAGGACAAGAGCAGTGGGCATTATTTAAGTTTCAAGGGGTGCGTACTCTGTTTCCTAACTTGTTTGCAAAATACCATAGCAGATGCAACGTGACATGTTTTTGAATGAGTTTTCAAAGTGATGACATCCTTTGGAAACTTATTCATTCTTTTTTATTCAGGCCGGCCGCAACGTTGGATATTATGCTGAAACCAAGCCTCCATCATTGAGACAGCCATTTTTATTGGTCATTGGTCCGAAATCTGATCCTGAGGAATTCTTCTTAATTCTTGACAAGAAAGCGGTGCCAGTTGGAAATTCATCATTGTTGGCTTCTTATAGACTGTTCGCTTCGTTTTGGATTTTTGGAATTGAGTACTATGAAAAACTGGCAACTTTCTTCAATTTTTTTGAAGCTATTCTTTTCGGCATGGATCCCAAACCTTCAGTGGCCTCATTGTTGGCTGCATTGGACTTTGTGTAAAAAAAAAATGATCCTACATAGACGGCTCAAAATGAAAATGTGCTTATGCCGACCTTTGTAATATTTGTGTGTCCACTTTGTTTATTTTGTTTTTATACTGATTTGGCCCTATGTTAAACCATCATGTCAGAGTACGACTTGTTAGTTTATACACTTTATAAAAAATCGATATGTATACACGAATTATGCAGTGTCTCTTTTTAGCGTTCAAAAATGCAGATTGTATAGCCCGATGTTCATCTCAAAATGAGATATTTTTTCAGAACTTTCAAAAGCGATTGTCTCATATTGCCAAAATTTGACATAGGCCACTACAGTTTTGAGTCGTCGATGTGAGCGAACACTGGGGTCATAATTTTCATTATGATTTCTTTCTGTGCAATTTATTTCATTTTCTTTTGTTCATTGGTGATTGTGGTTTAGTCTGCATCTTCGGTGATTGTTTATTGTGTTGCTGTTTATACCCTTATATAGCAACACAATTAGCGGTCACCGAAAATGCAGATGCGCTCACGCTTGAGTGTTTTTGAAGTTCTTTTCCAAGAAAAATTTGGTATATTTAATTTCTGCTTTTTTGGTAAATGCATGGGTAACTTAAGAAAGTTGAAATGGGGCTGGGGGAATTGGAGAGGAAACCAATAACTCACTTTTTGGTGACTCTATCGAGTTAGAAACTTGACTCAAAAAAGAGTCATCGCAAATGATCTTGACGGCTCTATCAAGGGATAAATTTGACTCAAAGAGAAGTCATCGCACATGACTCTTGACGACTCTATCAAGAGATGAATTTGACTCGAAGAGGAGTCATCGCACATGACTCTTGACGACTCTATTGAAGCGGAAATTTGACTCGAAAAAGAGTCATTGTGCGTGACTCTTTTGACGACTCTATCAAGGGATAAATTTGACTCGAAGAAGAGTCAATGTACGTGACTCAAGTAAAGAGTCAAATATTTCTTGACTCATTAAAAGAGTAGGAGGTTCGTTGAGTCAAATTTGAGTCAATATTTTTTACATACAAGACCAAGGAAGTCATTAAATTGCTACACTGCTTTGCAAACTTTTATAAAATAAATTCATTAAAATATTTGACATTTTATTATACTTTTGGGGACAAGAAAATGGGGGGAACGCCCCTCCCCGACTTTCAATTTTTTTCAAAATTGTGCAACCATTATGCAACTTGCTGCAATATATCTGCTCAAGAATAGGTGCACTGAAAAGAAAAATTTGTTTAAAATGTGAATATTATACTTCCAAGTAGTCCTACATACTTCATAATTGGTCAGACTGCACCGCGCACGGGTCAAATAAGCGATTATGACGTCATAAAAGCCAACAAAATTTTCGCGCGCCTTCGCCGCGCTTATCGGTGTCGCTGCTCGATAATCATTCCTGGTTCCCCGCGACTTCCCTTCCCCAGTGAAAATGTGTTTTCAGTTTTGTATTTTGTCAATTTCGTATGTTATTTTTTACTGAATGGGAAAAAATAAACTTGACTATGACTTACCGACCCTATGGCGGCCGTATTTAATACAACTACTGTAAATGCAATGTGCCCGCCAATACCAAAAAGTTGTGGTCTAGTACTAGGCGCAAATACTATACCGTATGTCAAGTATCGGCAGCCTACGACTCTCTGCAACGTATTTGTGGCGCATACACTACGTGTAGAGTGTGTCAAGACGTGTTGGCCATAAAGCGACACAGTGGGACGGCCACGTAGCTGTGTTTTATTTATGCAGGCGCTATATTCATTCATACCACTGGAGTTGCTATTGAGCAACTTCCCCTTTAGATGGTTTGTCAGATTGTCAGCAGTGTGGATTTTTATTGTGTATTAGGTCATTATTATAATGTTTTATTACCGTGAACCTATGTAATTATTGTTGTAAAAGAATAATAGTACGACAGATTGACAGTTTCCCCAGTTTTAAATAGCTCTGTTCATCAGTTATTTTGTATTTGTAACTAGTCAACTTTCGCAGTTTATCTCCTGTGTGATTTCTATGCGTATTGCCACGTATATTATGTATTTCCACAAGATATGTTGTATCATTAGTATCACCCTAGTTACCCTTATTCATTTCTAGGTGTGATTTGTTAGGTTTGCATATATCCTATTATAAGCCAATATTTAGGAACGTACGGTAATAGACCAGGGGTGGGCAAAATATGGCCCGCGGGCCGGATCCGGCCCACCGGAGTGTTTCATCCGGCCAATATGTGCCTGCTGAAATTATGACTTTATTTTTTAATAATTTCAAATTTCCGTTGAAAATATTGATGATATAAATTGAAATTCCATTGAAAATATCGATAACGGATCATCGTCCAAAGTAAATACCGTAATTACAAGCGTACCTGAATATCATGTTCAAAATTATCCTTCCGATTTATTTAAGTCATTCAAAAACGCTAGCTCTTGATATATATCAGCATTTGGGCCTGCAAATTTTTTCGTGCGTCCGTGAATGCGCCAACACATGTTCTTCCTTTTTTTCTAGTACAACGACCATCAAAGTCGGCAATATCGTGATCGTCCGAGACGAGACGCTAAATACAAACTAAGGAATGAAACCGCAAATCCAATTTCCGACAGAAAATTATAAAGTGGATATATATTGGAAAACACCATTTTGTTTTAAAAGTGCCTCGAAAGATCTGAAACCTTATTTTAGACGTGGTAAGTCGCAAAATTTGTGGATGGTAGACTATAGAATAGTCCAGCGTTTCCCAAACATTTTGTTTTTGCGGCGTCAGAAGGGCGATATTTTAAAAATATTCTGAAACGGCTTAAATTAAACAAATTACCAAGATCGCAAAAGATTCAAATGAATTCTTATTATAATCAGGCAGTATACCGAGTATTTTTACGTACGCGGATTGTAGTATTTTAGGATAGTAATACTTTCATTTTATTGTACCTCTGCGCGACGGCGATTTACGTTGAAAATAATTAAATTAAGATGGCGAGACAATTTTAATGTTCGTATCGATCATAGACAGAATATTTTGCGCATCAGAAATATCATCATCGCCGAAAAAGTCAGCCATATTAATCGCGATGACTGTTTCATCGGTAAATGTACTGAAAATATAGTCTGCGGACTTCATCTGACATTTTTGACGAAGTAGAACTGTTGATTCTTCCTTTTCTAAGATCATATTTGGTAGAAAAGCGGCCAAAACAAATCGAAGAATGATGATGATTTGAGATTGTACCCGATAAAAATGTCTTCACATATCAAAAACCTTGTTGAAATTCATTCATTTTATTATGATTAGTCTATTTCATAAATGATTTGCAATCAATTTGTTTGTAACTTGATGTTTTATTGTGATTTTGGGGGCGATGGTAACGTGAAATATACAGTAGGGAGGCGATGGCACAAAAAAGTTTGTGAAAAACTGGTATAGTCGCCTACATTAATTAAAGTACTTTGATAAAATATTCAGTCTGTACGCATGTAACTTGCTAATCTTTCAATCTTATTTACTATATCACTTGGGGCAAATACCGAATGCTTTACATTACCGAACCGCGATCAGTGAAACGGGTATGCGATTGACTGATAGACTTGCGCAATGACTTGACAAACCTACTACTCGCCACTTCAAAAACCCAGGTTACAGCAATTCCATTCATAAACGACGGGAATGGCGCATTATCTCCTTTGTGTATTGTTATATTGTGCTGTCTTTAATATGAACGTTAATCTAGCTGTTAATCTTCTTTTTCTATAAACTTTCTCTGCGTAGCTGCCATAATTTGACATCCTCTGACATAATGTCCGGTGCTCCCGAAGTATGCGAACCAAGATGGCGGACATCGGAACGTAACATGGGTAACAGGTTAGGCAATAATTTTTTTCCAATTTTCCTTATTTTAGTCCTATTATCAGTTCGAAGACTAGCCAAGAGCCTCCCGCAGTATTTATACCTAAAATTATGGCCTAACCCTAACCTAGTACACATATTACATTCCGATGTCCGCCATCTTGGTTCGCATACTTCGGGAGCCCCTAATGTCCTATTAATCGTTGTGTCTAGTTATTTGCAAATAATCCGTATCCGTTTGATCATATTGAGTTTTGATCCTCCGGCCCAGTAATCAAGTCTATTATCCACATCAGGCCCACTCAGGAAAGCAATTGCCCACCCCTGTAATAGACCTATTCCGTATGTTATGTTCAGTATTTGTACCTTATTTTCCATTGTTTATTGTATTTTACATTAGAGTAATTGGTTGCATTGAGGGTGGCTATCTTTATTACAGTGTCCGCGAAGCTGACAGAAAGAACCTGAGTGGTGATGCCAATACTGGTACGCCACAATAGCTTATGTTAGGATAACGTTGAGCTACTCCATATCGGTACCCAAACTCGCATAGCAAGTGCTAATATTAATTGCAATTGTGGTACAGACATTTCACATGCTTTCGGTGATGTGGCGCTTCGCCCAACTTTAAAAAAATAAAAATAAAGGGTACTCCCGATTGTCCCGAAGTATGTGTACCAGGTTAGGGTTAGACCATAATTTTTCCCGATTTCCTTATTTTAGTTCGATTACGAGTTCGGGGACTGTCTGTGTTCGCCAAGTGAATATCCCCCTGTCATAGGTTCCACCCCCCTGCCCCACTACTTGATGTAAAATGGGCGAACAAATTTAGTTCCCTCCATATGATACACATACTTCTGGAGCGCCCAAAACAGAGCTCAAAATCGAGCTTTCGTTCAACACCAGATCGATTACAAATTATTCAAAACTGCCACAATGCGACAATGGCAATGCACCAAATATTCAGTTCCATAGATACATAACCTAAGGTGACCTTACGTCCTCCTTTTGGAGGATTTGTCCTCCTTTTTCGTTAAAATTTTTATGTCCTCCGAGGACGCTTTAAAAGGTCAAAATGTCTTCCTTTTTCAGGAGAATAAATAAATAAATTCTTTTGCGACATAATCAACATTTTTGACGGGTTAAGAATATTTTAAAGTAAGTAGAAACTTGCAATTATTAGTACAAATATGACAAGCATTGCATTGCGTTGAGATACCATATAGGTTGATAAATACTATAATAAACCCCGAATACAAAATAGGTTGGAAATACCTTAGGTTTTTATGACAAACCTTGGGGTTTTAGGTTATTGCGTGCGCAACACCTCATTCTTAATCTATTAATAAATTGTAGCTCAGATTTACGAACACGTTGAATGAAGAAATAGGTGACACAACAATGACCATTTCCACGCTGCATATTGGTATCTAAAGTTACACTACAACAGGGGTTCTCAACCTGGGGTTCGCGAACCCCCAATGGTTCACGAGAGGATTTCCAGGGGTACTGTTGTGTTGCTTGTCGTGTGTTGCTTTTTTTTAATATCCTTTAACAAAGAAAGTGACTACAAGAGGAAAATATGCGCCAATTGACCCTCAGCGTACATTTTCCCTGATCTTGCGTTGTTGTGATTGTGACGCAAAAATGTGAAATGCACGGCTTAGCAGTCGTTGCAGCAAATTGTAAGTCAATATATCACAATTTAGTTTGGTGTATGATTACCGGGGGTTCGCGTTGACTGTTTCGTGACTTTGGGAGTTCGCGTTGATTGTTTCGTGACTCGGGGGGTACTTAACAGAGAAAAGGTTGAGAACCCCTGCACTACAATGATCATTTTCTATAACCATGTACAAAATTAGCTTCCCTATTGTTAAGTTCTAATTGCGATCATAATTTCAATTATGGATGAGGTTAAAAGGAAGCTTGCACAATAGCGTTCGGGGTTTGGCAGACCCGCACAATTAAGAACCACTGCTCTCGGTTAAATACATACTTGTTTACCACATAAAAATCATGTTGTTTTACAATTATCTTTTACGTCATTTCATCTTGTATTTAGCAATTTGGGGAAGTTTCGATTTTAGCAGGAAATTATGGCGAAAAGAAAATCGTCATACCCAGGAACTAAAGCAAAAGCATCCATGCTTCAGATTTAGAAAAGATCGAACTGATAGCGAATCGGAGTGCATTACCTGTGGCCACAGTTGCTCGTTGACAAGACAAGAATGCATTATTGCATTGTCGTCGCTTCGTCTATTGTCACTTCTATTTTTAATCCTACGGAATTTAGTAGATATATAATGTACATATCTCAGGCACAAGTGGAATATGGCTCTACCAATCAATGTGTCCTTTTAGGGTTTGAAAATATGGCCACTCTAACATAACCAGACTGAGAAAAGGCAATGGTCCGCTAAGTGCTTAAACTACCTTATTAATTTTCATTTTCTATAGTACAAATATAAAATGATTACCATCTTCAAAACGCGTTTAGGAACAAAATTTAGCATTTTCGTTCAACTGACAACGCAGCATTCGTTTCATTGTTCTATTTTATTATTATAATCGGAACAATTGTCAATAGGATAATTGTGACGCAATAATCTAAATTCGTATAGATCTATTTTAATCGGCCTGAACAGCGAGATGTTAAAACAAATTAATCAGTTAGTATCGTGTTTTCCCCAAAATGAAATGAGTCCAAGTCGATAGCGCGTTTTTTTTTTTTGACGTAGTCGATAGCTAGAAATCTCTCCTACGCGTTTTAATTAAAGGATTAATCTAAAACGAGTGAGAGAAGAAAAGGTTAAATTATCTGAGGTAACGTGAAGATTACGCCACAATTTCCTAATGTGTAATTTACATCCAAGATATTTGCATCAAAGATTACAAAATTGCTTTAGCTGTTCATGCAAATCTGTCGTATTAATATTTATTCTGTTTTGCCTAGGCATAATACATACCAATCCAAAAACCACAAACCGTATCGGCAAAACCACGTTGGAATGTATTTTAAATTTTTGACTTTATTCCGTGTTACGCTCTGCCAGTAAACCCTATCGGTATTCAGCCGATGTAAGTGTGGTACGAACGAGTTTGAAATGGGCTGCGAGCGTTTCGATATAAGCTTTGTAAAATGTTTCTTTCGTATTGCATTTTATACAATGGCTGGAAAGACAAATTGTTGGAGAGCAAGAACTTGCTACAAAGCAAAAAATGTCCTTAAATAGAGCACTAACAATTTTTATATTGATTAAGTATATAGGTAAGTATTATAATTCCCAGATCCCAAATAAAACAACACGACGAAACGCGTAGAATTTAAATGACGCGGAGGATAATTTTTTATGCTCCACGAAGCGAGACGATTGTTTGCTTTCAGAACAAAAAGGAAGCTTTGTGCATATGTCTACGATCGACGACGACATATAGAGCACCAGGTTATGATTCAATGAAACGAATTGTCTGCTCGCGGTATTCAGTTACAAACTTACAATGGCAATACGTTTTTCGGTACCAGTATATTTTTTTGATAGAGTGTCATCCGTATGAGTTATGGTTTCAGGTGCAGAAAATATCACCCACTTACTAATTAGAACTCGTATTTCAGGCTGGGCCAGGTTACAATTCGTTATTTTTCGCCATGTTAAAATACTGAAATATCTTAATTAACCGTATTATCTGATAGCAATACGGGGTTAAATATGAAGGACTTTTATGTATATTTATTTAGGTATTTATATCAGTTATTGTAAGGCAAATTTATTCTGTAAAATGGATGGATTTCGGGCCGAAGCTGCCCTTGATCATAAATCAAAAATACTGGATTCTTATTCGAAAATGAAAGATGCTGGGTTGCTCTTAGATTTTAAAATTGTAATTAAAAATACATCATTTCCAGTTCATCGCAGTTTATTGGCTGCAGGATCGGATTATTTTCAAGCCATGTTTCTTCATGATAAAAAGGTTGTTGAGCAAGGTGTCGTGGAAATCAAAAAGGTTGGCGCTGAACCTATGAGCCGATGCATAGAGTTCTTATACACAGGAGATACAGACATAAACAATGAAAATTGTCAGGATATTCTCCATGTATCAAGCATTCTGCAAATTGACGCTTTGAAAAAACTTTGTTTCCGTTTCCTGCAAACCAATTTGTCTCCAGAAAACTGTTTAGTCGTTGCTCATTTGGCAGAGATTTACAATGACCTTCATGCAAGAACTACGGCAAAGAAAATGGTAGTTGATGAATTCGAGGTAATAGTGACTGCGGATTTGTTCCCCTCCATCAGTTCAACAGACCTTATCTATTACTTGGATAAAAGCAGAGGGGATTCAGGAGTATCTTGGTCGGCTACCACAACTTGGATCAGAACCAACCGGGGCCGAGACACACAGGATCTCATCAAAGTCTTGGATGAATCACTAAAGGTCATGAAATTGCCTATTTCGTTTCTACTGGCGACTGTTCTGGATGACGATATTTTTGACAACCGTACGATGAGAAATTTAGTCTCAAAACATGTATTTATGGAAACAGAAAACTTGAAAGAAAATATCACAGCGAGCAATTGTATCAAATTGAAAACTTTGGCTAAAGAATTTCTTGGCATTGACGGGAAGCCACTAGAGCTTATCAATCAATTCATTGTCGACAATATTGAGGAAGTTTCCAAGTTCGCTGGTTACGAAGCTTCCAGCGAAGACACGGTTGCAGAATTGGAAGCAAAGATGAATAACTGCATTTCTGATAGAGTCAAGTATGAACTACTTTTGACTTGGACACGTTTTAAAGGCGAGCGACGCACACATTTTTCTCGTTTGTTTAAATTGATCAAGCTTAATGAGCTTCCGATCAAATTTATTCAACAAAAAATTGAAAATGAAAAGTTGGTTGAACAATCTCCGAGTTGCAGTGCATTGCTGGGCTTATGCTTAAGTCCCAACGATGAAGACTCCGATAGTGATGATGATATCCGTTATCCTACATACGGTGTGGACGAATTAATCGATGATGATGAGTTCAAGTTCGTATCAGAAGAAGATTTGAAAATATATTTGAAATCGTATACGCCACTTTCGCAAAAGAAATGGGAAGCAATGAAACGTTGGATGGAAAATAAAGACAATGCAAACACATTGTTCAAAGATTTACTGACTATAATGGAACCTCCATTTGAGTTTCTTCTCAAAATAGTTGTGGAAGATCCGTTTTTTGAGAACGAGAATGCACTAAAGGAAATTGCTCTTAGTCTTATTTTCTCTTCAATTTCAGAAGTTGGAGAATTATGTGACAAAATTGATTTGGAAAATTGCTTCATCCTGAAAACTCTCAACACCCAGTATAATAAAGTCAATCACAATCTTTGGAATTCAGAGATTGAGAGGTTTCTGACGACCCATGCACCACTTGTTCTAAAAAGAAAAGAGATATTGGATTTCAGTAAGGATGAAATCGAAAATCTAATACGAGTGACAGAGTGCAGTGCAGACTTTAAGGCTGAAGCATTGCTAAAATGGGTGAAGCAAAAGTCAGAAAGATTGGATTTGCTACCAGGCCTTTTAAAACTTATCAATCTACGACTTCTTACATCACCTACCGTTCGATTGTTGCAGTCGGATCCCACCATTAGTCAATCAGAAGACTCTCGTGAAATTTTGCATAAGTTGGGGTCCAAAGGTTCGATAACTAAGAACAATTCAATCCTGGACGAGACAATACAAGATTTATTTGTGGTAGATTTATCATCAGGCATGGGATATACCTGTGATCTCTCGAGTGCAGAGACTTTTGTATTGTCGCAAACTACGAAGATTTTCCCTATAAATATAATCAATATGGGTGAAAACGTATACGGAATAAATTTTAAGAGCGTTCTTAAACTAAATAGGGAAGGAAATTGGGAATGCTTGTCGCTTATCCCAGAAACCATCCGACGTTGTTTCTTGGAGGAATTCATTTGTGGTCCAAACAAAATAATTGCTTTCAAGGATTGCTTAGCTTTCTTTATGGGCTCTAAACTAACGATGTATAATCCTTTCAAGGACGGATGGTCAGATACATTACCCGGATGCGACTTGAAATCAAAATTTTGTGTCGCCGCATCAGATGAAAGCATTTTTGCATTTAATGGCCAGACGAGAAGAGCAAAACGATTTGACGCGACAGCAAGTAAATGGTCAGATATTGCTAAAATGCCAACGGAGCAGGTTTTGGCGTCTTGTGCTGTTTTACATAATATGGTTTTTGTTGTCGGAGGAGCTTTTGGAAGCTGGTTTGAACAATATGTCGGACCGAGAGATATAGTTCAGTGCTATAATCCAAAATCTGATTGCTGGACTAGAATCTCAAACATGTGTCAGCCACCAATATTTCTTAGCACTTGTGTGGTCAACAACAAATTATATGTCACGGGAGGAAAGAAGGACGGAGGTTTCTCAATTCAACTATATGACGAAGAGAATAATCAATGGGAAGTGGTTCGAGAACTTGAAACTACGAAACAATATTTTTCCGCATGTGCCATTCCAAGGGGATTTCTGTCCTTCGACTACCGTCAATGTTTCACTTTTGAAGAAAGCCTTGGTTTACTAGATCGCGTTAATGCTGAATTTGATAGAAAAACCAAAGAAAAATATTATATTAAGCAGATTATTCCGCTATCTGGCGGAGAAATGAATCTACTGGGATGTCGACTTATTTTCCCTCCTTCAGCATTGGATGAAGAAACTGAAGTAATTTTAGCTGTAGACAGTTATCCTAAGAATTCGCCTGGTTTTATGGAGCTGGAAACATCGGATAGAATATTTAGTCTCGACTTTCCTATAACACCTGTGATGATTTGCAAACCTTCCATGAAATTCAACAAACCCGTAATTGTAGAAATGGACACATGTTTCAGCGCTCGAGAAAACAAAACCATTCCAGTTGATATTCAAATAAGAAAAGTAGACTCCGATTGGAAAAAGGTCTCTGAAGCAATTTTAGGCAATACCAACAAGATTAGATTTACAGTTTCACATTTCTGTGGCATGGCAGTGACTGTTTCCCCAGAGTTAGTCGACGATGGATCGTTTCATCTCATTAATGACGTGTACATCCAGAAAATAACCGCTCAAATCGCTTCAGTGTTTTGCAAAGATGAGACAACGCAAAGATCCATGAAAGAGATCCTACAAGAGGAAAACTTTGTCAAATTCATGGGACCCTCACATGAAATTCTCGAAGGTCTGGGTACTCGAGTCAATCTTCGATTTGAGTGCACGGAACCAGAGCAAACGAGAATATCGGAAGGATGTCCATCTTCGCAGTTCGATATAAACAGACAAATTTTCAAAACAAGCAAACATGTGGTTTGTTTCAAACCCATCCCTCGTCCTCGGGAATATACTGGAGTCATAGATTCCGATTACTATGTAAAAATAAACGAAGACGCCGAAGCGAGACTAATGCTGGCCGTAGAATGGCCGATTCAAACTAGAGGTAAGTTCTCATGATACTGGAAAATTTTTTTGTTTGAAAATGACATGGCGTGTCGTATCATATCCATAAATTTCGATGGAGAAAGAACCGTTGCTGGCCACTCTTTAATTCAGTAAAAGCAACAAAATCGCAGCCATCCCATTATATATATTAAAGTAGAAATACTCGCTCCTTTAAGTATTTCATAATGCTGTATGATATTGACTGTTTCATTCAATGAAATTTTACTATATTTAGTTCGCAGTCTACGCGCTACCCTGTTTAAATTATCGCAGCTTTGCGCAAAAGTAAATATTTATTTTCATTCTCTCCCTGGTACTAAAGCGTATTATGCTGATAAAAGCTGTTATGTTTTACTAAAACTATACAGCAGCCAAACTATATGATATATTCTAGCCGAATTCACTACACCCAGTGAAATATAAAGAATATTTGTGCGAGTGGCACATTTTTTCCTAATTTGACGTCAATATACGATTATTACGTCACCACAATATACTGGGCTTGCTGGCAATATTCCTTTGTTCGTGGGCTGTTTAAAATTATTCAAGCTAAAAAACTAAATTGATCGAGTCATAAAGACCACAAACCTTCGGGATTCGCATCGCATAGTCCTATTAGTTCCAGTGTGTATACAAGAATTCCTAACCGCGAAATTTTACCCTTGTGATGTCGCCCAATTTTAATCATATTTCAAAGCCGAATATAATGAAAAAAAAATTTAAAATCAATTAAATATTACTTTTTATAGGTACTGGACATCAACATATCGAATGTCGTCCACACTGGACCGAGAGCAAATGTGATGGCAACTGACAATGCGAGGGTAGAGACCCACAGTACGGGCGAGACCAATGTTGTCACATAAAATTGATTGGATTTATGGAACATAGAAAAACGACTCTTACTATAAACCATAAAAACTGCTTTATTAACTTTAATATCAGAAACAAACACTTTTCATGGGATATTTGGATCATACTTTTTTCAACTCTAATGTCGGACATGCGCTTTGATTGCCATTTATTGGGTAATATTCCATCGAAACAGAAAATATGCATCAGGGTTAAAATGCTAGTAATGTATATATAAGTGTGCGACGGTCAAATTAAAATGCTAGGTATTGTATTTTTACTATTATAATACAGGGTGTTGAAGGTAAATATACAACTTAAATTTTGATTTGCTTTTCAGGTACTCATCATATAGCGTTCACTTCTTCAGAAAACAATAGTTTGGATAAGTAGTAAAATTTAGGTATTGTTTGCATTTTTCATCAACCCACTAAATGACAGGAGAATAATCCAAAAAATTAGGTACAAAATTCCTCAGAGCGTCCGCTCATTAGTCTTCCTCATCTTTCTGCATCAACTACAGATCCAGTTTGACGATGCATTGCAAAAATTGTTCGCCTTACTGATTTACATGCTTTTTGCCAAACAGCAATTTTCCATCTCATTTCTTGGATTAATCTCCTTGTCATTTTGTTGGTGTATAAAAAATACTAACTTTTGCCACTTACCCATACTATATCATCTAGAGAAATGAACGCTCTATGATAAGTAACTGGAAAGCAAATCAAAATAAAATGTTTATATTTACTATTGAGTATTATGTGCGTATAGTTAGTTATCTTGATTATATACTTCGCTCTTTACCATTTTCGCGCGTTTTTTTTTTGGATTTTCATTCCGGCACGACCGAGAGCTAAGTTAAAAAATGTATAAGTAGCAACGCTCAGAAATGCATATTTATTCTATTTCGGCGGTATTTTCTCAAAAGTAAATTTTTTTTTATCCCCATTAAAATAATTTTTTGTTGCATATTTTTACAATTTTATGTAACATTGATATTATATTGGTGATTTTAAACTCAAAAATTCATATTATCTGCCTTCCAACTCAGTCTTTAAATATCATTTTCATCTCTGTAGAAGATACCTTAAATTGATCATTTTATTATCCAGATTTTTTCTTCTCTTATATCTGAAATATTCCAACTGGCAACCCCGAAAGCGTCTGGGCGTTTTTACTCTTTATACTTTTTATTATTAATTATAAATTTGCCTTAAGCGAGGTAAAAATTGAAGTGTTAATTGTGTTGTAATTTTTTAAAAAAGGTTGAACAACTTTGTGTCGATTTGAAATATATGTATTCCCCCCCTCAAATTCCCTATAGACCTGGGGTGCCAAACTTGTGGGTTTTTAAGGGCTACATGCCCACATCGCATTTTGGGAATTGTGCCAAGGGTTGCAAACAGTTTTGGATATATTTTTGATAATGTATACTGAAACATATTTTTAGATAGGTGTAGTTTGTGACATATATTATGACGTAATTGAAAAGCCGAATTTTTGTTATTTTCTAACTTTCAAATGCAATTTGCTTATTCATTTTTTGAAATTTACTATTATTGTAATTTACTGTATTTATTACAAAAATCATAATTTTTTTATATACAATAATCCAAAACATTTTTGAACAAACTTTTGACATGAAAAGAATAATTTATACACTAAAAATGACTTGGTCTAAATATATATACCTAAAATTCCAAATTCGGTCAAAATGAGAACAAAAAAAATTACTTAAAAATAGTTTCTGTAAATTGTCGTTTTCTGCGTTAATAATCAATTTCACATTGAAACAATTTGACCCGTGTTATAGACCACGGTTCGTCTTTTTTTCTCCAATGGTTATGTTTATCTAATTTCCCTAAAGAAATCTCCGGGTCTGAGACTTACAACCAAGTACATTGAAAATTTTATATGTTGAAATTATGTTCAAGCTTTCTTTGTGTTTTTGTTAATAATTTCGCTTAAGCAAAGCTTTCTAGATTAGATTAACACTCATCTGAATCATGTATGATTTCTGAATTTGATAATGCAGAGTACAAAATTTCCTTTGTTTAGCTTCCAATACTTTTTGCGTGTAACATTGCAAAACAGGCTCTGTTCGGGCAGTCAAATTGTGCAAGGTTCTACAAACTTTTGATGGTAAAATGAATCTATCCGGATTAGGATTAACTCTAATTTATTGCATTATGGGTCAGGCGTTGAGAATTGAGCCCAAAATTTTTTATTCTCCGAATCCAAATCGAACTATATTTGTATTCATTTTATTGAAATCATAGCTGTACGTCTCGCACTATATTAAGAAATTATTTGCTGTTTTCCCGCTTTCAAATTGCTAATAATTGTTTCTTGATAGAGATCAATAAACAGTATAAGTTGATGACAAATTTCCCTATCTTTGGTTTGTTTATTTGCGGAGGAAATATTGAGTCGAATGATAAAGCAAGGTATAGTGAAATATCTGGGTGGCAGTCAATATAGGATTTACATATTTATCCCAGAGAGAGGGAACCGATAAGGTATAACCCACATGACCAATCATGGCCTCTCGTCCGGTTACCACTCCATGTCGGATATGGAATTAGTTAGCGAGTTAATCGTTTTCGAAGCAATCGAAAGAAATCTTCTTGCTCATAATTACCCCCCAGATCCGACAAAATAGCATCGAATAAGGGTCAACATAACAGTTTATCAACGTTAATATATATATAAACACGGGCACTATGGTCCGTGACACTGTTCACTAGTGGGCGTTCTATTACAAAATATGGTGCTCCCGAAGTATGTAAACCAAGATGGCGGGCACCGGAACGTAGAATGTGTACCAGGTATATTACATACTACGTTTCGGTGTCAACCATCTATGTTGACATACTTCGGGAGGACCCAAAATATTCTTGCCATGGAGCCCATCAACTTGATCAAAAAAAAAAACGTAGATGTAACAAGGCATGAGACATGAATCGTTCACTTTACGGTACAGAGAAAACCTATAAAGTTGAATATGTGGGCATATGAATGTGAAAGTAGTGCAATAAAGTTACTTTAACTTTTAAAATAATTTTGTGGCAGCTAGATTCGTTCGGGCGAGTTTATTAGCTGATCGCTGACTTAAGTAAAACTGTTGTTTCTACTCAAACATTTCGAAATTTTGCAAAAGTTTTCGCGGACTGGCGTTTGCATTTTGAAATCTTGATTTCAATTCAATACATTTAATCACTTTTCATAAAAATGCATCAGCAAAAACGCATTTTATCCCAGAGATAAAAGAACTGCTATTTAATTCACACTTAAATTTTCTAAACGTGCCAAAAAATCGACAAATAGCGGTCAAAGGGTAAATCCAGTTGAGGATTACAACTGTGTTTAAAATCTATCTAGGCGAAAAAGCGGCTACTGAAGTTACAACTGCTACCAAACAGCTATCAAAAAAGTTATACGCAAACATGAGATATGAATCGATGCTCGGGGAAACATCCAGTGACGTCCAACATTGCGAAGATGAACTAAAATCGATCCAAGCTAGCTGCCATTCTACTGAGATCTTGGCTAGGCCTCAAATATTTAAATGTATCATAATCATCTCTATTTTTTACTATCACAGGTCATTAATTCTAAGGCAAGTGCTGAAATCAATTGCAATTCTCAGAGACATTTGCTTTCAGTGACGAGGAGATTCTCCTATAATTTTGCATATAGTAATGAAGTCACAACGATCTCCATTACGCAATGAAAAAAGGTAACCTTGTGCATCTCTGTTGCTTGTACCGTCTTACAGATACCTGTAATCCTGCCAAGATCTAGGATAGACTTTAAATATTTTTATGTATTATAATCATCTCTACTTTCCACCAACACATGCCATAAAAACAACATAGCCAGGATAACATCTAAATGTACTACACTTCTAGTAGATTAACTTACAGTCAATGCTGAATCCAATTACAATTCTTGGAGACGTTTACCTTGCTCCCAGTAATATGGAATTCAGCTTAACTTTTTTCTTCCTAGACTGAAGTCAAAATCGAGTTTTTGTTCAGCCCTTAGTTACAGATTCCTTAAATATCATCCTATCGCTCTTATGGTTGTGAACTGTATACCCAGGCCCGAGCTATGAACAAGCGGATAAACCGATAATACCCACGGTGTGGCTCATCGTGCTAAGGGTTAGCAATACGCTCGCCACCGCACATATGATTACTCTGCGTTGGTTCGCTAACCCCCTACCCTAAATGGAATTGTGACCGGACAAGAGGTTCCATTACGGTATAAAAAAGCCTACCTTGATTGACCATATCTGTTGAACGTGCGGTCTGAGAATGACGCTGAACTGTATATCCAGTCCCATAAATTCAAAGTCATGACCATCCATGCTTTTTCGTCTGCATTAGGCTACAAATAAAAAAGCCTACCTTTAGCATCTCTGCTGAACGGACGTTACTAGATCTTAGCGACCATGTCTAGACACAAAAAGCCAACAATTTTACAAAAGCCTCATAATATCTGTTCGAGCGGGTGAAAAAAATGCAATTGTTACGGCATTGTTGACTTATTTGTAATTAGTTATGGCTAAGGAAATAAACAAGGAAATCGATGGTCGGGGACTACTGTTGCACACCATATATTGTATTCTATATGATTTTAATATAAGCACTAGAATAGACAGAAATGCCGGAACGCCAAACGGAAATTATGACGCCAAAACGTTTTAAAAAAGCCAAAATTGTTGAATTCGGCCTTAAAAAGCCAATATGGCAACGGTCTAAGAATCATCATGGTATTTTGTGATTATAATCGTAACAATTGATAAGAGAAGAATAATGACACAATAATTATTGTTTGGCCAGATGTAATTATACCAGTCTGAAAAGCTCAAGGAATAAGCTTAAGTAACGTATGTGACATTTTTCTATTTATCCTGCCAAATACAGGTGTCGCATAATGGGGTGTCTGGAATACCTGACTGTTCTAATTCTAGAAAACTATCGAAAACGACCAGCATTCAGTGTGTCCTACAATGGCACAAATATCAATAATGTTGTACACTGAAGTTTGATATATTGCTATTAAATCCAGAGATGACATCTGGAATTATTCATTCGTAGTTTCACTTTAGTTAAATCCATATTATTAGTAGACAATGACAATTTTTGAATTTACGATTACGAAGTAATCAGTGGCCACCACCGTTCTAGAGTAGTTAATCAACGCTTTCGCTTATGGATGTGTTTGATATCTGGGTGCTATCGACGGAGCTTTCCGCTTTGTTCATTTCGGGAATAACTTTGTGGTTTGTCTGATCTGATCTCGAAGCAAAGCGTTACAGATGGTGATTACGCTGCTGATTACTCTGTGCGAAAAATTTGAACAATCGCACCCAAAAAAATAGCTGGTATGATTTCCACTTCTACAGAGTAGCTCACGTAGCGTTCCCGAATTCTAGATGTCTTCATTAGCATGTATGTATGTTTATTTGGCTCATGTAAAAATGTAACAGTATCAGCATAATAATTAAACAGTATAAAAGAGACGGGATGCATGTTCAAGACCTTTCTGACTGTCTGGCCTAAGATACAGATGTGCGACATGCACCCCTAACAAGTATAACTT